AAAAAAAAAAAAAAAAAAAAAAAAAAAAAGCATAAGTTGAATCTAATCATGAGGAAACAATCAGATAAACCCAAATTGAGAGACATTATATAAAATAAATAACCTGTACTCAAAAATGTCAATGTATGAAAGACAAAGAGAAGTTGAGGAACTGCTCCAGATTAAAGGATACTAAAGAGACATGATTTCCAAATGTAGTCAATGATCCTGAATTGGGAGGTGGGGTGGGCTGGAACGTGGAGGAAATGTACTACAAAGGCCATTTCTTGGACAACTGGACAATTTGAATATGGATGGTTTATTAGATAATAATGTTGCATCACTGTTAAATCCCCTGATTGGGATAATTGTATTGTGGTTATATTAGTGAATGTCCTTGGTCTCAGGAGATAACATGCTGACATAGGGGTAAAGGATCATATCTACAACTTGCTTTCGAATTATCTAGCGAGAGATAGATACAGAGAGAAAGTAACATATGCAAAATGTTAATGACTCTAGGTGGGAAAGGATAAAAAATTCTTCAGTATATTATTTTTGCTAAACTTCCATATGTTTAAAACTTTTTCAAAATACAAAGTTAAAAAAAAATTAAAGGGACTTCCCTGGTGGTGCAGTGGTTAAGACTCCGCACTCCCAATGCAGGGGGCCCGGGTTCAATCCCTGGTCAGGGAACTAGATCCCACGTGCTTGCTGCAACTAACAGTTCACATGCCACAACTAAGGAGCCCATGTAACACAACTAAGGAGCCCGCCTGCCACAACTAAGACGTGGTGCAACCAAATTAAAAAAAAAATTAAAAAGAAAATACGAACAAAACTATAAAACATACCACATTTGAAATTGACAGAGGGTAAAATAATGGTAATGTATATAATTACCCACTAGCACATTAAACATCACTCTAACAGAGGGACTGAGAAGGAATGAAATGCAATAGGTTAGATTTGGCCCTATGAGTCTCACCTTAACTTCTCTGGGATTTTGAGGACAGGAAGGGAGAAGAAGTCTATTGGGGGCCTCTTTGACCTAGTATTTCAGTTGCCATTCAAAGGAAATCTTTTATGCATATGGAAGAATAAAGATCTATAAAGAGCTAAATAAATTTGGACATACACACACAAAAAGCACAGAGACTTGCCTTACCAGATTTTAAGATATGCCACAGGGCCTTCCCTGGTGGCTCAGTGGTTGAGAGTCTGCCTACTGATGCAGGGCACACAGGTACGTGCCCTGGTCCAGGAATATCCCACATGCCGCGGAGCAGCTGGGCCCTTGAGCCTTGGCCGCTGAACCTGCACGTCCGGAGCCTGTGCTCCGCAACGGGAGAGGCCACAACAGTGAGAGGCCCGCATACCGCAAAAAAAAAAAAAAAATCTTCCAACAAACAAAAGTCCAGGACCAGATGGCTTCACAGGTGAATTCTATCAAACATTTAGAGAAGAGCTAACACCTATCCTTCTCAAACTCTTCCAAAAATTGCAGAGGAAGGAACATTCCCAAACTCATTCCATGAGGCCACCATCACCCTGATACCAAAACCAGACAAAGATACTACAAAAAAAGAAAAGTAAAGACCAATATCACTGATGAACATAGATGCAAAAATCCTCAACAAAATACTAGCAAACAGAATCCAACAGTACATTAAAAGGATCATACACCATGATCAAGTGGGGTTTATCCCAGGGATGCAAGGATTCTTCAATATATGCAAATCAACCAGTGTGATACACCATATTAACTAATTGAAGGATTAAGACCATATGCTCATCTCAATAGATGCAGAAAAAGCTTTTGACAAAATTCAACACCCATTTTTGATAAAAACTCCAGAAAGTGGGCATAGCGGGAACCTACCTCAACATAATAAGGGCCGTATATGACAAACCCAGAGCAAACATCATTCTCAATGGTGAAAAACTGAAAGCATTTCCTCTAAGATCAGAAACAAGAAAAGGATGTCCACTCTCACTACGATTCAACATAGTTTTGGACGTCCTAGCCACAGCAATCAGAGAAGAAAAAGAAATGAGAGGAATACAAATTGGAAAAGAAGAAGTAAAACTGTCACTGTTTGCAGATGACATGATACTATACGTAGAGAATCCTAAAGATGTTACTAGAGCTAATCAATGAATTAGGTAAAGTTGCAGCATACAAAATTAATGCACAGAAATCTCTTGCATTCCTATACACGAATGATGAAAAATCTGAAAGAGAAATTAAGGAAACACTCCCATTTACCGCTGCAACAAAAAGAATAAAATACCTAGGAATAAACCTACCTTGTGAGACAAAAGACCTGTATGCGGAAAACTATAAGACACTGATGAAAGAAATTAAAGATGATACCAACAGATGGAGAGATATACCATGTTCTTGGATTGGAAGAATCAATATTGTGAAAATGACTATACTACCCAAAGCAATCTATAGATTCAATGCAATCCTTATCAAATTACCAGTGGCATTTTTTATGGAACTAGAACAAAAAATCTTAAAATTTGTATGGAGACACAAAAGACCCTGAATAGCCAAATCAGTCTTGAGGGAAAAAAACTAAGCTGGAGGAATCAAACGCCCTGACTTCAGACTATACTACAAAGCTACAGTAATCAAAACAATATGGTACTGGCACAAAAACAGAAATAGAGATCAATGGAACAGGATAGAAAGCCCAGAGATAAACCCACGCTCCTATGGTCAACTAATCTATGACAAAGGAGGCAAGGATATACAATGGAGAAAAGACAGTCTCTTAAATAAGTGGTGCTGGGAAAACTGGACAGCTACATGTACAAGAATGAAATTAGAACACTCCATAACACCATACACAAAAATAAACTGAAAGTGGATTAGAGACCTAAATGTAAGACCAGACACTATAAAACTCTTAAAGGAAAACATAGGAAGAACACTCTTTGACATCACAGCAAGATCTTTTTTGATCCACCTCCTAGAGTAATGGAAATAAAAACAAAAAATAAACAAATGGGACCTAATGAAACTTCAAAGCTTTTGCACAGCAAAGGAAAACATAAATAAGATGAAAAGACAACCCTCAGAATGGGAGAAAATATTTGCAAATGAATCAACGGACAAAGGATTAATCTCCAAAATATATAAACAGCTCATGCAGCTCAATATTAAAAAAACAAACAACCTATCCAAAAATGGGCACAAGACCTAAATAGACATGTCTCCAAAAAGACATACAGATGGCCAAGAAGCACACGAAAAGGTGCTCAACGTCACTACTTATTAGAGAAATGCAAATCAAAACTACAATGAGGTATCACCTCACACCAGTCAGAATGGCCATCATCAGGAAATCTACAAACAACAAATGCTGTAGAGGGTGTGGAGAAAAGGGAACACTCTTGCACTGTTGGTGGGAATGTAAATCGATACAGCCACTATGGAGAACAGTATGGAGGTTCCTTAAAAAACTAAAAATAGAATTACCATATGATCCAGCAATCCCACTACTGGGCATATACCCAGAGAAAACCATAATTCAAAAAGACACATGCACCCCAATGTTCATTGCAGCACTATTTACAATAGGCAGGTCATGGAAGCAACCTAAATGCCCATCAACAGATGAATGGATAAAGAAGATGTGGTACATATATACAATGGAATCTTACTCAGCTATAAAAAGGAACGAAATTGGGTCATTTGTTGAGACGTGGATGGATCTAGAGACTGTCCTACAGAGTGAAGTAAGTCAGAAAGAGAAAAACAAATATCGTATATTAATGCATATATGTGGAGCCTAGAAATATGGTACAGGTGAACTGGTTTGCAGGGCAGAAATTGAGACAGAGATGTAGAGAACAAACATATGGACACCAAGGGGGAAAGCGGCGGGGCGGTGGCAGTGGTGGTGTGATGAATTGAGCGATTGGGATTGACATGTATACACTGATGTGTATGAAACTGATGACTAATAAGAACCTGCTGTATAAAAAAATAAATAAAATAAAATTCAAAAATAAAAAAAGAAATCGTAAACAAAGTTCAGAAGACGGAGAAAGGACTGGAAGATGTGCTGTCCAAGCTGACAAGGGATTTATAGCTAAAATATAACAAGAACAACTATGAATTAACAAGGAAAAAGGAAACCCATTAGAAAAATGGGCAAAGGATACAGAGACATAATTCACCGATTGGAGAATCCCCAAAAGATAACGTGTGCATAAAGCGATCCTCAAACTTATTAGAAATCAGAGAAATGCAAGTTTGCTACCATCAGAATGGCAGATAGGTGGGTAGCACTGAATATTTAGTAGAATGCAGGAAACCTTGTGCATTGCTGATGGAGTAATTTTTAATTCCTACCTCACATTCCACATCCAATCCTTCAGTGAATCCTGTTTCTGTTTCTACCCTTGCCTATGCCTCCCCACTGTTTGTTCTTCTAACTGTATCTGGAATGAGCCTTTTAAAACATAAGCCAGATCACATCCATCCTCTGCTCAACACGCTCTAGTTACTTCCCATCACAGAGTAAAGCCAAATTCTCTACCTAACAAGTCTCCAGCTGTGGTAGGCAGAAGAATGGTTCCCAAAGAAGTCCACATCCTAATCCCCACAACCTGCGAACGTTCTG